ACCCTTTGTATATATATAAAAAATAGCCTTCAGTATTGCCATCTTGGACTTTTCTACCTATCAGAAAACAGATCAAAATAAATAAAAATTATTCAGGTAGCTAATCTTTTCAGTAGGCTGAAAGGGCCCTATTGTCACACTAAGTTGAAAACAAGTATTGTTTCCCTTGTAGATATGCACCCAGTCTATGGTATGGACTGTAGCAGCTCAACAGATTAAAACAAAGTACTGGTCTGTTTCTGGGCATCTACTTGGTTCTGTTTGTCTGTGTGACCACTCTAGCACATAGGTCACACTACACAGTCTTGATGTGTACAGTAAGCCCTCCCTGCTTCCTCTTCCGCAAGAGTTGCCACACTTTTTCCTGTTCCTTCATCTTCTTCTATTAGCTTCCTACAAATACATTGCTAATAGATTTTATTAGAAATGCATTCAATCTGAAATGCATTTTGGCATATTACTCAATGTTTCCAATATTGATTCTTCCAAAATCCATAGGCATGGCCTGTATCTCCATATATTGACATCTTCTGCGGGCCCTTTCAAGAGTTTAAAATTTCCATATTAAAAAATATATATCCATATTGTTTGTGGAGTGGGGGTGTAGCTAAAGTGCTGGTGTACATACCTATCAATAGAAGACAAGAGTCCAGAGGAGGCTACAATGCTTGATAAGAAATGTACTCATTGTCTTGCCCATGTAATTGTAACCCCTCTATATGGTACTTTCATAATAAAAAAAAAGACAAGAGTCCAATCCCAAGTAAAAAAATAAACTGATTTAATTAATATATTAATATTCTACCCAAATTGTAAGCATTTTGTTCCTTTCCTTCTTTTTTTCTATTGCTTCCTTCCTTCCGTTAGTTTGTTTTTGGGGGTTTTTTGGGGAGGGGGTCGGTCATGGGTTGGGCCTGGGCGCTGTCCCTCAGCTCTTCAGTTCAAGGATATCACTCTACCACTTGAGCCACAGTGCCACTTCTGGAGTTTTCTGCTTATGTGGTACTGAGGAATCGAACCCAGGGCCTCATGCATCCAAGAGAAGCATTCCACCACTGAGCTACCTTCCCAGCCCTTTTTTGTTTTTGTTTTTTGCCAATCCTAGGACTGGAACTCAGGGCCTGGACACTGTCCCTTAGCTTCTTTTTTGCTCAAGTTCTACCACTTGAGCCACAGCACCACTTCCAGCTTTTTATTTATATGGTACTGAGGAATCATACCCAGGGCTTCATGCATGCTAGACAAGCACACTAGCACTAGGCCACATTCCCAGCCCTTTCTTTCTTTCTTTTTCTTCCCTTTCCTTTCCTTCCTTTTCCTTCCTTGCTTGATCTCTTTCTCTTTCTGTGTTTCTGTCTTTGCCAGTGGGGCTTGAAGTCAGGGCTCAAGGCTAGTGCTTGAACCCATAGCACCACTTCAGCCTTTTCTGAGTAGTTTATCAGAGATAAGAGTCTCATGGACTTTCTTGTCTGGGCTCGCTAAGAAATGCAGTCCTCAGATCTCAGCCTCCTGAGTAGCTAGGATTACAGGTGTGAGCTACCAGATTCCAGCTTACACACTTACACACACACACACACACATATGCATATATACACACACATATATAGATATACATAGATAGATAGCCAGTCCTAGAACTGGCACTCAGGGCCTGGGCACTGTCTCTGAGTTTCTTTTGCTCAAGATACATATCACTTTATCACTTGAGCCATTTCTGTTTTTTTTCTTTATCTGGTACTAAGGAATCAAATCAGGGCTTCATGCATGCTAGACAATCATTCTACCACTAAGCCATATTCACAGCCCAAATATTTTGTTCTTTTTTTTTTTTTTTTGGGTCCGGTCATGGGGCCTGAACTCTGGGCCTGGGCGCTGTCCCTCAGCTCTTCAGCTCAAGGCTATAGCGCTCTACCACTTGAGCCACAGCGCCACTCGGCTTTTTTCTTTTTGCTTATGTGGTGCTGAGGAATCAAACCCAGGGCCTCAGGCATGCAAGGCAAGTGCTCTACCACTGAGCCACCTTCCCAGCCCTATTTTGATCTTGGGATTTTTTTTTTCAAATTATTCCATGCTAGGATGTAACAAAATGATAGAGCTGCACTTACTCAACAAGTACAAAGTCACAGGTTTAAATCCTACCATTGCAAAAAAACAAAAAAACCCAAAAAGCTGGATTTTCAAGAATAAAAAAATGCAAACCATTATACTTGCATAGTGTCATAAGTTTTTGTGAATAATTTCAGTAGAGTTAGGGAATTGCTATTCTAAGTAATACTTTAAGCTGGATGCTGATGACTCCTAGCTACTCAGGAGACTGAGATCTGAGGGTAATGACTTGAAGCTAGCCTGTGCAGGAAAGTCTGTTAGACTTATTTCCAATTAGCCACCCAAAAGCCAGAATTGAAGCTGTGGCTCAAGTGGTAGAGTGCCAACCTTGCACAACAAAGCTCAGGTATAACACACAGACCCTGAGTTCAAGTCCTACAACCAGCAAATAAAAAAATATATAAATATTGGTTAATTTGGAAACATAGTGCACATTACAATTCAAAAACTCTACTTCTGGGCTGGGAAGTTGGGTCAGTGGTAGAGTGCTTGCCTTGCATGTATGAGGCCCTGGGTTCGATTCCTCAGCACCACATAAGCAGAAAAGGCCAGAAGTGGTGCTATGGCTGAAGTGGCAGAGTGCTAGCCTTGAGCTGAAAAGCTGAGGGACAGCGTCCAGGACGAGTTCAGGCCCCATGACCCCCCCCCAAAAAAAAACTCTACTTCCATCAAATCTTTGCATAGAAATAAAAGTATTTGAAGATGATTATGAGAAAAGAAAAAGAAGAAAAAAATCATCAGCTCTGGTAAACAAAAAATTGAAGTTTAAATATCTGAAAGTAAGAACTATTGTTTTAGTAGTTTTTACTTTCCAGACATTATAAAACAAAAGAATAATAAAGTTATTATACAGGTATACCATTCTTCCTGGGGCAGATAGACAAGTTTAAAAAAATGTCAATTTAGCCAGGCGCCGGTGGCTCATGCCTGTAATCCTAGCTACTCAGGAGGCTGAGATCTGAGGATCACAGTTCAAAGCCAGTACTGGCAGGAAAGACTGTGAAACTCTTATCTCTAATAAACCACCAGAAAACTGGAAGTGGCGCTGTGGCTCAAGTGGTAGAGCACTAGCCTTGAGCTGAAGAGCTGAGGGATAGTGCCCAGGTCCAGAGTTCAAGCCCCACAACCACCACCACCACCACCAATAATAATAATAGACACATTTAGATTAGGAGGTATATGAAATGGGAGTCTTTACTTTTATGCACTATACTTCTGTAATCTTAGCATTAAATAATGAGCACCTTATGAACTTTTTTTTTTTTTGGGGGGGGGTCCGGTTGTGGGGCCTGAACTCTGGGCCTGGGCGCTGTCCCTCAGCTCTTCAGCTCAAGGCTAGCGCTCCACCACTTGAGCCACAGCGCCACTTCCGGCTTTTTTCTTTGTGCTTATGTGCTGCTAAGGAATCAAACCCAGGGCCTCATGCATGCAAGGCAAGCGCTCTACCACTGAGCCGCCTTCCCAGCCCCACCTTATGAACTTTAAAACTACTAGTTGCAAAAGAATTAACAGGCTGGGGACCAAAACTGCCCAAGCAATTAAGCCACAAATGTCAATTCTTCCTGCCTTGGGGTCTTCAATTCATGCTCATAGTCTCACTTCTAAGGAATTCTTTCTTTTAACAGAGCCTAAATAGCAAGTCCATAATGGAACTGGTTATTACGGAAAGGAACTATAGAACAGATAAGTGCACCAGGCATTCCAGCCTCACTTTCTGATGATATAAGACAGGGTAGGGTAACCAGAGCCCAACAGCATCAAACAACTGTCCGAGACTCCAGAGGTGAAAAAACAGTGTTGGGCTAGGTGTCCGGCTTGGGACTCAACCATGAACAGTTTCCTCGTGCTCTTGATCTTTTTTCTTTTTTCCTTCACAGTGCCAGGAATCAAACACAGGGCATGGAGCATGTTGGGTAAGTATTTTACCACTGAGTAACACCCAAGACCTTTCCAAGTCTTCAAAGACAACAAGCTGACAACTTTCATGCCTGTTTTCCCCCTTCATGTCTTTCTTCCAATTCTTATTGTTAGAATACTTTCAAGAGCAGTGAACAAAATATAATTAAAAGGGTCTCCTGAGAGATCCTCAAACTTCTTGCATGAAGTCTACATTGGAGGAAGAAGAAAAATACCATTCAATATAACAAATGCAGGGGTCAGAGAGGCTAGTCCAGGCCATTATCATATTCACATAGAGTCACAGATTTAAAAGGGACCCCAAACGTTGGCCAATATCCCATATTTTACAGATCCAGAAATGTTAAAGGGTTTGTCCTAGTTAAAATTTACAAAATTAAAACTCACATCTCCCAGTTCTCCAACTGACCATCTTTCCATTATACCATGCTGCTTCCCAGAAATTAATTGCAACTGGAAAATACTTAAAATATAATGACTCCATGATAATACTGTATATGCAATTCTGGATTTGTTTATACTAAAGATGTAAGAGGAAAAGAATTTAAGCCCTCAAAAAATTCAAGCAACAGTTTTTATTTATTGTGGATTGACACCAGATCATGTTATTGAAAAATAAAAATGATACAATGGTTCATTATGGATTTTCCTGTTTCACAATTTACTGCCTTGATATGGCCACTCCATCTCAAGGATCACAGAGCTACTCATTTAAATGGCTGTGCTAACAGGAGTAAATAGGGGAAGCTGAATGCATAGGCGAACTGAAAGGTTTTGCTATCCATAGGTGGTTAAAAAATAAACTTCTTTCAGTTTATCTTGAAACAATTTTCTTGGTCAGAGATATAACCAGAAAATGTAGCCTCTTAATGCTAACCTTCGACGTGGCAGACAATATTCTTTTGTGTATTTGAGGGCTGGCCATCAAAGAAGTTCTTTGTTTCAGTTCCTTCCTTCCACTTCCTTCAGAGGCTTACCTGGGATAGTACGCTGTGTAGTTCATGAAGAGCTGAGTGCCTGCTGGGTAGTAGGCTGTGGAGGGCTGGAGCGCTCGTGGACTCAAAAGCACAGAGGGCTGATAAATGGCAGCTTCTGTTGGAATCACTGCTGCGGGAGCTGGGAATGTGTAGGAGGGAGGAGACAGGCCTAAACAAGCAAAGAGAGAGCCTTTAGACATGTTCCTAACAGACACAACAGTCATAAAGGCACTCTTCTAGCTATACATTTTGAAGGAAAAGACCATTACATTTTCCTACCATTCCATGCAATGTAGCTACCTTTTATTACAGCATGAAATGGAAAAGATTAAAAACATTTCACTCTAAACTATACCAAGCATACTCTGCGCCACAGTGAACTGACCCAAAGGGAATAGACCAAGTTTGTTCCTTGAAGGAAATTCATTACATGGCCTTTGAAACTAATCTACATCTTCAAAGCTGTTGAAGAAAATAAAAGTCTAAGCCAGACAAGATGCCCAGTGGCTTATGCCTATAACCCTATTTGGAAGCTGAGATTGGAAAGATTGCACTTCTAGACCAATCCAGACAAAAAGTTTGCAAGAACACTAATAAGCCATTAGGCTGGACACAGTAGCATACACCTGTCATTCCAGCTACACAGAAGCCTGAAACAAGGTAGACTATAGTTCTGGGTCAGCCTAGGCAGGAAAATCCATCTCAACTTGAGAAACTAAGCATGGTAGAAAGAACCTATCCTCACAGCTTTGGCAGGATTATAGTCCAGGCATGTACTTGGGAAAGAAGGGAGATGCTACCTCAAAAGTAAGCATAGCCAACAAGGACTAAAGGGGTAACCCTGCAGTAGAATGCCTGCCTAGCAACTGCGAAGCCCTGAGATTAAACTCCAGTATCAGAAGGGGAAAAAAATCCAACATGGGAAATAAACCTGGAGATCCACATGCCCAGGTCTTCCCTAAGAGTTAGCTGATAAAAAAGCTGGCTCAGAACAAATAGAAGAGAGCCCACAGATGGAAGGCACAGTTAAGTTGTGGAGTGCATATTTAGAACATGTGCGGACCCAAGTTCCATCTCCAGCACCATTGGCAGGGGTGGGCTAGGGGGATCTCTCTGCTTTCTGAATCTTCCCTATTCAGAAAATCTGAAGTTAGAGACATTGCTGGTGACTAGCTTTTACATGTTGGATGAACACAGACTATGTGTACTGAGAAGAGGAAACTGAGTTGACTGAATCTGAGATTAAGTTTTGCATATAGAACCACAAGATTAGATTACTCAAGCAACAAAGGCTCATGGGAAACTTGCAAACAAAAAAAAAATTTCTAACATAACTTCCCATTCTCATTTTGTTCTTATGAGTATTCTCCACATCTATGGAGATGAGCAATTAGTCAGTGGAATATGGGGATACAGAACAAAGGACAATACTGATTTCATATTTAATTGTAGGTGCCTCTTCCATTGTCTTTCCCTCTGCCTGCCATGGTTCTGAGGACTGAACTTTGGTTCTTAACTAGACAAATGGTCAACTATTAAGCTATATTCCTAGTCCTTGATTTTTCTTGAGGGTCTTGCTGTATAGTCTCAAAACTTAAATCGTCCTGTTTCAGCCTCCCAAATATTGGGATCACAGGAATGTATCTTCCCATGCCTGGCTGTGGTACCTCTTTTATATTCATTTAAAAAAAATTGTGCTAACCCAGGTGCTGTTAGCTCACACCTGTAATCCTAGCTACTCAGGAGGCTGAAACCTGAGGATCATGGTTCAAAGCCAGCCAGGAGACTTATCAGTAAAAAGCTGAAAACTGACCTATTGCTTAAGTGGTAAAGTTCAAGCCTTGAGTGGAAAGAGCTCAGGCACAGACCCAGGCCTTGAGTTCAAACCCCAGAACTGGCACACACAAAAATAATTGTGCTAAACACAGTTTGTGTTTGTGTGTGTGCACATGCAATCTTTATCGTTATTAGGGAGTGTACAAAGGAGTTACAATTCCACAAATAGATAATTTACATAATTCTTTTTGGACAATGTTATCCCTTCCTTCACTTTTCCTGATACTTATAGTTTGAAATATGATCGCTATTTTTAGGGAAATCCATAGAAAATAATACAAACTGAAGTATTAACTATGCACATATTCTGATTTTACATCTAGTGAAACAATTCATTATAGACAATGTGGAACAACATTAAAAAAACATATAGAAGTGGCACTGAGGCTCAAAGTACTAGAGTGCTATCCTCGAGCAAAAGAGCTCAGGGACAGTTCCCAGGCCCTGAGTTCAAACCCCATTACCAACAAAAAGAAAGAAAAGGAAAGGAAAGGAAAAAAGAAAAAGAAAGAAAGAAGAAAGCAAGATGGGGGGAGGGAGGGAAGGGAGAAGGAAATGAAGGGAAGGGAGGGAGGGTGGAAAGGAAGGAAGACATAACAGATATGTCTGTTCTACTTCAAAAAAGAAAAATAGAATGGTAGGCCAGGAGCTGGTGGCTCACGCCTATAATCCTAGCTACTCAGGAGGCTAAGATCTGAGGATTTCAGTTCAAAGCATACCCCAGGCAGGAAAAACCATGAGACTCCTATCTCCAATAAACCACTAGAAAACCTGAAGTGGCGCTGTAGCTCAAGTGGTAGAGCGCTGACCTTGAGTTGAAGAGCTGAGGGACAGCTCCCAAGCCCAGAGTTCAAGCCCCATGACCGGCAGAAAAAAAAAGGAAAGAATAATAGAATGGTAGAAATTCTTTTTTTTTTTTTGGTTGGTTTTGGGGTTTGAACTCGGGGCCTGGGCACGGTCCCTCAGCTCTTCAGCTCAAGGGAACACTCTACCACTTGAGCTACAGCGCCACTCCCAAATGGTAGAAATTCTTAACTAAAGAGATGCTCTTGCTAAAGATTTATGTGTTTCTTAAATGAAAGTACTTCTATCTTTATATTCCTAAAAATCAAGTTGACCATAAAATGTACTTCGTTAACTTCCAAACTTTATACTCATTCACATATCATTAAATGTAAAATGATGAAATTTAAAAATTAAGATTTTGACAGCATTTCTTTGCCAAATGAAATTTTCAAAAAAGATCTCTCAGTGGAGAGTGTTAACCAATGTAAATGTTAAAAACTTTAACTATGTTAACAATCACTATTTTTGTATTTGCTGTGTAATCAGGCAGTGACTTAAAAGTATACTGAGAGGAAAAAAGTTCAGCAGAACAAGTTCAATATTAGCAGATATACATGATTTTCTTTCTCTCTCTGTCTCTCTCTATTTGCTGTACAATCCTGGGGCTTGAGCTCAGGACCTGGGTGATGACCTTTAGCTTTTTCCCTCAAGGTTCTACCACTTGAACTACACTCTACTTCCAGCTAACTGGAGATAAAAGCCTCATAAACTGTCCTGTCCAGAATGGCTTCAAACCACAATCCTCAGATCTCAGCCTCCTGAGGAGACACTGGTGCTAGGCAGATTGGTGATTCACAAAGAAATAAACTTCAATGAAGAGAAATGGAAAAACTGTGGGTAAAATTCCTGTATTTCTATATATATCACCTTTATAATAACAATTAAAAATTTTTAAAGCTACAAAGCATGGTAAATATGAATACAACCAGGGTTTGTATTCAAAAAATAAAAAATACTGTATTTTTGGAAAATATTAAAAGATACAAAAATTCTTTGTGCTGGAGGCATGGCTCCAACAATAGAGTACCTGACTAGCAAATATAAAGTCTTGAATTCAAACCTCAGTACAACTCTACATATATATGGAAAAAGAGAGAGAAAGAGACAGAGAGAAAGACATTAGATACCTATAAATTATATACATATATGCATTCATATGGATAACTGCCTTCATGAACTATAAATGCAGGGATACACTTACTTATATACCTTTAAATGGTATATTATACACACATATCTGTACACATGTGTGTATACATATGTCTACATATATATGCATGCATATAAAATAGTCTTTTGTGAAATGTGTATTGAAATTTTTTCCTTAGGCAAAGGGAGGAAAAAAAATAAAGCCTGCAATAAGCAGTTTTCCTTCAGGAGGAGAAAAAAGTAAAAGGATATCACTACATAGAAACCTGGGTCATACCTGAAAAGGAACTTAGTTGTTTTGTTTTTCTGTGTGTATGCATGTATGCAGGTACTAGTGCTTGAACTCAGGGTCTTGTGATGTCTCTTGGCTTTGTTGCTAAATGCTGTCATTCTATCACTTAATTTTACCTCCATTTCTAACTTTTGCAGGTTAGTTGCAGATAAGAATCTCATGGAGTTTGCTGCCTGGGAGGCTTTGAACCTTGATCCTCAGATCTCAGCACACTGATTAGCTAAAATTACAGGCATGAGCCATTGTGCCCAGCTTCAGAACTTGGTCTATTTCATATAGATTGTCACTAAACAATACTGTAACAACTTCTACATTCTCAGTCATTTATGCATAGAAAACATACAAGTAAGATTATGTCAGGATATTTTCTTAAACCTAGTTACAAACTTTCAAAACTTTATGCTCATTCACAATTAACTCTTAAAATATTCACCAACAGCAAGCAGCAGGTAAGTGGAATATTAGCACTGAAGAACTCCAAAGGGAGAAAAGGACTAAGCCCCACTGAATATTCTACAAGTAATATTTTATAAAATTGACTAACTGGCATGAATCCCTTTTTACTATAAAATAAAACTAACCTTCTACATCTACACTCTTTTTGGGAATGAAGCATGTGTTTGAACTGTATTCCAAATAATATGTTCTTTAAACATATCCAACATGCATAACAAGGTTAATGTCTTACATAAAGGTGAAAACTTCATTTAAAACAACAAAAAAGCCTCCAGCTTTAACATTAGATTCTCAAACATTCCTTAAGTCACTAACTAGGACTTGCACTCTACAAATATAAATACGGGGCTTATTCCTCCCGGAACAGGATTTCAGATGGCTTGCACCCAGATGCCAACGAGCAAGAGCATGGTTTGTAATTAAGCACTGATCCTGCGACCCAATGGAAACTTTGGCTCAATTGTTTACCCATTTATGTATTTTTACTAACTCACTCTTCTAGACATCCTGGCAAGCAATAGAAATGCTCTCCAGGTTGTCACTCACAAAACACAATTGATATTTAAAAAATGAAAAGCGGGTGTCAATCATTCTTCATAAAGCTTAATGCATTTAAGAGGGGGACAGGGAAAGCATCCAATTATCCATTTATTTTCCCTTTAAATGCATATTAAAAAATCTACAAAGCCAGGTTGCCTCCCAGAGTCAGTGCTTATCTGGAACACACTAAGCTTCAGAAACCACGTGCTTATCACTGGAAAAGCAAGAATAAAATTTGAAAGAAGGTATTTGGAGCATCTCTAATTATGGGTGTCCACAACCAAGGTCTTAAATGATTACCAGATACTACTGATTTCAGATGGGAAAGCCTTATATAACCACCTTGCCTGCCTCAGAAAGAACCAGGGACACAGAAAGTTATGAAAGCAGCTTAAGCACCTACCAGCATACAGCGTAGAATAGCGCCAAGACCCAAGAAAAACTTACATGGTAACTTACATGGCGGTGGGGATAAGCCATTTCGATTTAAAGTGCCCCCCATTAACACAAAGTTCATCTCCTCAGCTGAACACTGAAAGACTTCAACATATCTGTCCTTCATGGTTTTTTTATGACACTTTTGCGCAGCCATAAATGCTCTGTCCGCAGACTTCATCTGGATAAAGGCATCTCCTGATGGGCGGCCCTGAGGGTGTAGGGGAAGAATAAAAACAAAAGGAGACTGTCTCCTTCAACAAGGAAACGAATGGTTGCTTACAAAACATGCAAAGTGACAATCACCCATAGTACAGACATATTTAGCCACAAAATCTGGGTGACAGTGTGAGTGGATGAAATCTGATGTGTGTTTTATCCCCTAATGGACCACAAAACCGTGAAGGAACAGTTTTGAGAGCTCATAGCTGAAAGTGATCCTTCTTGGTTTCTGTTAAATTAGTATCCGATTTACAAGGTTTTGAAAAGGTCTCCTTGTGACTGCCAACTTCAAAATACAGGATTGCATATTGGATTCTCTCCCCCCCCCTTCCCCGTCTGAAAAATCCGATTAAGTCTCATTTGATTGGGAACAGCTAGGAACAGAACCAGTCTTAAAGCTTTATATATCCTCCGACAGGAAATAGGACAAGCCAGAATTGAATTGTCTTTTGGCTCTCAGTGCTCATCTATCACTGACCCGCCACGTCCCTTTTGCTTTGCTTCCAATGTTGGAATGTAGCTTAAGGGCCCAGTGTTGGGTAGGGACCCACCAGTCTTATTTGGGAACTACACAGTAGTTTGCTAAATATCCCTATTTATAAACAACTTACAGATTTCTGTTACAAAAACTTGGAATACTTTTGCTTTATCATGAACATTTTTGTGTGGCAGAAACAGACCAAACTGGTTTATAGTTCTGCTTTCTTTTTTTTTTTGGTCAGTCATGGGGCTTGAACTAGGCCTGAGCACTGTCCCTCAGCTCTTCAGCTCAAGGCTAGCACTCTACTACTTGAGCTACAGTGACACTTCCTGCTTTCTTTTTTTATAGTTCCGTCTAAATGTTTCCTAGGAAGTACTTGATCCAATTACCATGCAAGTTACCATAAGAGTTGCCATACCAAGGAAATTACCAACAAACACAGTCCAAGATAGAAACCTAACATCTTCAGGGTAACTAAGAGTTTGTCCATCATTTTTAAATGATTAGCATTTTTAAATGGTCAAATGACAGGCGAATCTGTCCACTGTTGTTAATCAAAGAGGAATGACCTCTAATGTATTAGAAACATGACTCATAAAGAAGTAATTCACTGGTGATGCTCGATTGTGGAGACATGTATTCAAAAGGACTTTAACCAGTGAAGCATGCTAAGAGAGCTGTGAGGTAAGAAGGTGTGCAGCTTAAAATGAATGTAAGAGTTAGAAAGAGTATGTGCTGTTGTAGAAACTAAGCAAGGGCTGCGGAAGGTTTCCGATTTCTTGTGCAAAATGGCATGTGCCTCCCAGTGAGACAAGATTATACCTATGAAAGTGACCAGACCTCCAAGAGAAAGAAAAAGTAGGAGATAACAGGAAAAAATTTAGTTTTTCCATATAAGACCATATTCCACTTATAATGCTAAAAAATTTGTTTTCCAAAACAATACAATTTTACCTTCTATCAATTAGAACTGCTTGGCTTATGAGTATTCATATTTTTCCTGCTTAAGCTAGCACAAAGCACTGACACCTTACATTTTTAAATTTCCCTTAACCCACAAGTTGCATCATTGGAAGAAATAGCTTACATTGACACACTGAAAAGAATTCAAACAGATATTGACAGAGGACTCAACAATTCATTTCTTTCTTTTCTTTTCTTGCCAGTTATGGGGCTTGAACTCAGGGTTTGGGCACTGTCCCTGAGCTCTTTCACTCAAGACTAGCACTCCACCACTTTGAGCTACAGTGCCACTTCTGGCTTTTCCTGTTATGTGGTACTGAGGAATTGAACCCAGGGCTTCATGCATCCTAGGCAAGCACTCTACCACTAAGCCATATTCCCATTCCCAACAATTCATTTCTTACTAGAGCTGTGTGCCTATAAGCTCCACACACTGTTAATAGAGGGCATAGATACAAATCAGCAATAATTTTACATTTTATTTATTTATTTTGGTCCGGTCGTGGGGCCTGAACTCTGGGTCTGGGCGCTGTCCCTCAGCTCTTCAGCTTAAGGCTAGCACTCTACCACTTTGAGCCACAGCGCCACTTCCGGCTTTTTGCTTATGTGGTGCTGAGGAATCGAACCCAGGGCCTCGTGCATGCAAGGCAAGCGCTCTACCACTGAGCCACCTTCTCAGCCCAATTTTACATTTTATTGACTAGAATTTGATGTCTAACATATTAACAAAAAATTGTGAAATGTCATTATATAAGAACCTGTGGATACAAAACACACAGGAATACAGGCATGTTCACTTGTAAACAGATTTGTCTGTGACCACTGACATGAAAACAAGAGAGATGCAGAGTTCAGTGGCTGCAACAAGTGTTATACGCACTGCTGTTATATTTAGTTCTTATCTGAGACTACTGATAAATAGATTTATGTGATGAGAAAAATCAAAGCTGAATTTCAATTATCATGTCAATTATCATAGTAATAGTATCCTTTTCTGGAGTATACTCTAAAGACTTCTTATATGCATGTGTATGTGTATATGCATATATATATATATTTTTTAAAGGTAAACACAGAAAGTATATTTGTTTGTTTTGGGTCCGGTCATGGGGACTGAACTCTGGGCCTGGGCTCTGTCCCCCAGCTCTTTAGCTCAAGGCTAGCGCTCTACCACTTGAGCCATAGCGCCACTTCCGGCTTTTTTCTTTTTGCTTATGTGGTGTTAGGGAATTGAACCCAGGACCTCACGCATGCAAGGCAAGCGCTCTACCACTGAGCCACCTTCCCAGCCCCACACAGTAAGTATATTTGAAAGTGAAAAGAAAACCACAAAAGTAGAGAAACCCTCCATGTGGAGGGGGGAGGTCTAAAATGAGTCCCTATTATAGTTGTTTTTCCCCTCAAATTAACAAATATTCTTTTAATAAAAGAAAGCATTTTTTCACTGGAAACAAGCAGGTCAGCTACCCAACTTTTTTTACCTGATGATTCAATACCATGTGAACCCCATGCGTACGAATATCTGTAGCAAACTCCCCCAGGAACTCCAGGATGTCCTCTATTGTGGCCGCATAGGGAAGACCTCGAAGGCGTATACAGTCTCTAATGTTGGTAGGGTGCACAAATTGCTGAGGTAGTACTGGAATGATGGGAGGTGTTGGAAGTGGGATGAGAGGGGCAGAGGAGAATCGATTCAGCACCTATATGCAAAGCAAAACACAAGAGATTTAGTCTTCTGTTTCAATGCTGTCTGCGGCCGAGCAATGGATTCACCTGAGAGAACTGGTTAGAAATGCAGAGTCCAGAGGCTGGTTGCAGCTGAGTGACACAAAGCTTATGCTTAACACATACAGAAAAATGTATATAAACTTAATATATACAGAGTGCACACTTAATATGTGCAGAGAACACATGCTTAATATGTATAATGCCAGAAGCTAGTACAAAAACCAAGAGAAATGCTGTCTCTGCTCTACTCTAGAAATTTTTAGCAGGGTCCTTGAGTGAGTTAAGTGTATTCAAATTTCAGAAGTACTGATGGAGACATCTGGGCAATTCAGCTGAGAGACTGTGGTACCTACTTCTGCCCAATATATAAGACATGTCAGAATCTAAGGATGTGTCAACCTGGACAAGCACAATAATTATGACAAGTATCTTAAAAAAGTCTGCTGTTGGAAGTGGCGCTGTAGCTCAAGTGGTAGAGCGCTTGCCTTGAGCTGAAGAGCTGAGGGACAGTGCCCAGGCCCAGAGTTCAAGCCTCAGAACTGACAAAAAAAAAAAAGTCTGCTGTTTGCTAGCTACTCAGGAGGCTGAGATCTGAGGAACACAGTTCAAAGCCAGCCCAGGCAGGAAAGTCATTGAGACTCTTATGTGGCTTAGTGGTAGAGTGCTTGCCTAGCATGCATGAAGCCCTGGGTTCGATTCCTCGGTACCACATAAACAGAAAAGGCCAGATGTGGTGCTATGGCTCAAATGGTAGAGTGCTAGACTAGACTTGAGCAAAAAGAAGCTCAGGGACAGTGCCCAGACCCTAAGTTCATCAAGCCCTAGGACTGGCAAAAAGAAAAAAAAATCTGTTGTTTCTGTTCACACATACTGCTAAGAGGACACTTTCATGAATGAATTAGTTTTCATTTCACTAAGTACAAAGCATTCCCCTTAATATTATCCTTACATTTTACCTCCAACTCAAAAAAATAAAGAGACTAACCTTGTCAAGGACCACATGCCAAATAATAGTTTTGAAAGATATTAAAACACAAGGCCACACAGACACAAGCACAAGACAGAATAGCTAGATGATGAGAAACTTTTTTTTTTCTCTCAGTCATGGGCTTGAACTAAGGGCCTGGGACCTGTCTGAGATTTTTTGCCAAGGCTAGCACTCAACCACTTTGAACCACAGCTCTACTTCCAGTTTTCAAGTGGATTTTTAGGAGATAACTTTTTACGAGAGAAAGAGTTTCACAGACTTTCCTACTGGGCTGGCTTTGAACTACAATCCTTAGATCTCAGCCTCCTGAATAGATAGGATTACAGATGTGAGCAACACAAGAAACGAAAAACCTTTTTTTTTTTTTGCCAATCCTGGGGCTTGAACTTAGAGCTTTGGCACTGTCCCTGAGCTTCTTTTGCTCAAGGCTAGTACTTTACTACTTAAGCCACAGTGCCACTTCCAGTTTTTTATGTGGTACTGAGGAATGGAACTCAGGGCTTTATGCATACTAGGCAAGTACTCTACCCAGCCCCAGACACAAACTTTTAAAAAGTTAGTAATCATAAAGATAAATAATAACTGATTTTCTATATGACAAGAAACAGCTAAGCATTTTATAATACTTGCCAAATACCAAAAAAAAAAAAAAATCAATCAAAAATTGATGGTAAGCTTTACTAGTATGCTTGAGCAGGAATATCTTTTCTTTTTTTTTTTTTGGTCCAGTTGTGGGGCTTGAACTCTGAGCCTGAGTGCTGTCCCTCAGCTCTTCAGCTCAAGGCTAGCACTCTACCACTTGAGCCACAGCGCCACTTCCGGCTTTTTTTTTTCTTTTTGCTTATATGGTGCTGAGGAATCGAACCTAGGGCCTCAGGCATGCAAGGCAAGTGCTCTACCACTGAGCCAACTTCCCAGCCCCGGAATATCTTTTCTTTGTAGAAGAAAAGCAAACAACCCCAATGCACAATAATACAAGAATGTATAAATCAAATATGTACCTCAATGACATTCATTTGAAGATGAAAAATTTTAAACACAAGCAAGCTTTCAAGGTATGACCTACAAATATTAGGCAAGAATACACACAAACTATTTCCTGTGCATGCACAAGGTAAGGCTCCTTTTTGGTCCCAGAATGAGACTATTTCATGCACCAATACTTATTACATTCTCCAAGTTTTTAGACTGAATAATGTATGGTAAAGAACAGAAGTTAACACTCATTACATGTGGCAATACCTCATCATCATTATTTTTTCCCATGACATTGTGATTTTCATTTAAGAAGTACTTATTAAGTAAACAAAATACCACAACTTAATCTAAAACAATTAAAATGAAATTGATGCGAAGGTTCCCATCTACTCTTAAAAACCAACCTGCTGAACTTCAGCTGCGGTGCTCCTGAAGAGCTCAATGTATCTTTTACCCAACAAGTCCTTGTGCTTCCTCAATGCATTCTGCGCATATTCCTCACAGGCAAAGAGCACAAAAGCATCGCCTGTTGGCCTACCATCTGGGTAGGTGACAAAAAGGATGCCTTCCTTTCCTCCAGTGATGGGGCAATGCTGACCAAAGAAGGCCACCACTTCCTCAGCTGTGGCTGTGAAGGGGAGCCCTCTCATCCGGACAATGACTTGATTTTCCTTGGAGAGAAACTGGGCAACCTCATTGGATGTTCCTAGGGAAAACAATTATTAGTGAAAGCAGGGGGAAATATAGTCAAGACAACAATTTTGTCAAATATATAATATAAAATGCCAGGCAATGTTTTGAATTAAAAATAACTACACTCAGCCGGGCGCTGGTGGCTCATGCCTGTAATTCTAGCTACTCAGGAGGCTGAGATCTGAGGATCGCCGTTCAAAGCCAGCCTGGGCAGGAAAGACTGAAAGACTCCTATCTCCAATAAACCACTGGAAAACAGAAAGTGGCGCTGTAGCTCAAGTGGTAGAGCGCTTGCCTTGAGCTGAAGAGCTGAGGGACAGCGCCCAGGCCCAGAATTCCAGCCCCACGACTGACCATAAACAAACAAACAAACAAACTACACTCCTACTGAATTTATACTAGCTTAGGAATCAGAATTTTATTTTTCCTCAAATTTTGAAACTCTTCCCCTAGCATTTTCATAAAATGCCCATTAACTTAGGAAGCTGACAAGATAAAATAGTATAAAAATTATCTATATTTCAGGCAGGGAATATGGTTCAGTGGTAGAATGCTTGCCTAGCATGCATGAAGGCCTGGATTTGATTCCTCAGTACCATATAAACAGAAAAATCCGAAAGTGGCACTGTGGCTCAAGTGGTAGACAACTAACATTGAGCAGAGGACTTAGGGATAGAGCCCAGGCCCTGAGTTCAAACCCCAGGACTGGAAAGGAAAATTATCTATATTTATCAGGGATGTATGAAGTCATCATAGTAGTCACAGGTCCTGGGTAGGGTTGAGCTAAGTAGTACCATGTATGATGAGCTTGCACAAAGCCTTGCATCCAATTCTCAACAACCACAACAAAAGTAACAAGTAGCACAGGCCCTTGGTCCACAATGCCTGAGCCTAATTTTGGCAATTCTTTTTGCGAGGTTATGACATTTGTAAAGTTTAGTTTCTGTGCCTTAGTTTCCTCATCTATAAAACTGCCTTCTTTATAAACTACAAGAAAGATGTAGGTTGATACATTTAGGAATTTGAGTGTGTTATTTTCTTTTTGTTGAAAAGTTTACACATTCAAGGAAAGACCACAGTGTAGTTACATACTTTGGGAGTAGGAGTTTATGATCATAGTACATTAGATATGAAAATACAATGAAATCATTATTTTCTATAACTTGCATATGCTAATAAAATACAAAAATAATAAAAACTTCAAATAAATTATGTGTGTGTGTGTGTGCGTGCGTGCGTGTGTGTGTTTTCCAGTCCTGGGGCTTGAACTCAGGGCCTGGGTTCTGTCCCTAAAACTCTCTATTCTCAAGACTAGCACTCTACCACTTGAGCCACAGCGCCACTTCTGGCTTTCTGGTGGTTTAGTTGAAGATAAAAGTCTCACACAATTTCCTCCTAGGGCTGGCTTTGAACTGGGATTTTCATATCTCAGCCTCCTGAATAGCTCAGATAACAGGTATTAGCCACCAATGCCTGGTTTTTATTAATGATTGCATATGAACCTTTCACCTTGTGCATCTTTATTTTTGATGACTATTTAACTACAGAAAGTTAGCTTACGCCTTAGGGCAAATGTTACAGTACATTAAACTCATTGATACCATTAGTGATTTCTTATAATTATCTTAAATAGAATAAAAATGTTTTCATGTTTCCTTGGGAAATTTTTAAAAAATCCATAATGTTGCACATCTATTTAGTATATACATAAGGTTTTAAGTTCTTTTTTTTTTTAGCTAAAGCCATGTATTATAAAGGGCACTTACCACCAGCAATTTTAAGAAAATCTTCACCTGTGGCTTTGTAAACCTAAGAGAAACAGAGAAGTGAAATCATGGTTTTGTAAGCCTTCCACCACTCAACAAGTGAAGTGTCGGGCGGTATGAGGACATACCTCAATGTACCGGGTCCCCATGTGATGTTTGTGCCTCTGCAGTGCTAGGTCTCTGTGCTCCTCACTCACAAACCTAACCAGAGCCTCTCCATTCCTTCGACCCTGAGCATTTAGACAAAGTGCTGCACCTCCCCTTTGAAAAAAATAAAACAGATGGCTGCTAGAAAACAACACAGTGAGGAGAAAAATGATAGTAAACCCTCAATTCCTTCAAAATAGAGTAAAACACAAATCAAAGAAAACCAACTTGGCAATATTCAGTCCTTTGAAGAATCTTGCAATATCTTGATCTGAAGACTGCCAGGGTAAACCTCGTGCCCTGACTACAGTGTTATCATCAATAAGTTCCATCTTGCTGCTGTGGATAAGCAAAATATGAGGTTGCAGTATTAGTGCTTGTAAGTCTGACATTTACTACTCCACTCCCTTCAAGGCAATTTGTCTAATTTCAGGTCTCTTTTATCTGGAGTTCAGATAAACTAGCAATACTGACTTCCTTTGTAACCTTGGAAACTGTTTGGGTAGAAAGTATTCTTTAGAGAGGTCACCTAAATCTGGCTGCATATGTAGGTCCAATACAGCCAATTCACCCAGGAAACCATCTATTAGCTAAAGAACTACTTGTTTGCCATAAACTCAAAAGCTCCCAGGATCAATTCATAGGAAGCAAAGATCTCCCGATCTCCTCATGGCCTGATCAAAAACCAAAAAGGACAGATTAAAATCTATTCTCAGTATATAGTATACAGGGGTTAAATCCCATTTGGCAGCAGAACTAGTGATTAACTCATTTCAGGAATGTGTCTATGAAGTCAGAAGTCTGCCATTAAGATGTCTCCCTTTCAAACCAGAGAGCCATCATAGGGTGTTTATGAAAACACTTTAGAGTCCTCACACCTTAATGAGTCATTTGCAAATCACCTATTACGCATTTTGATACCATTTGATGTTCTTTCCTCATATTCATATTTTCAGTAATCCTACATGTTTCTAAGGAGTTACTTTCTCCACAACTGAATAGGCTTATAAGTCTCTCTATGGGCAAAGCTATGACAACTTTCTATTCATAAATTTCATATACTGTAGTGATTGACAAATATAACAGAGATATCACCATTTCATACTCTTTGCTGGTTATTTCCTTTGGTTTAATGTAGAAGCTGACAGGAGTGGTGGGTCAAGTTGCAGAGCACTTACCTAAGCAAGTACCAGGCTTTGAGTCTAAATCTCAGTATAATCTATCAATCAATCAATCAAACTTTTAAGAAAATGAAGAATATGATGAACATACCTAACTTATCTCACCAAAAACCATAAACTTTTAAAACCTATGATTTTTTTCCTTGGAAGTTTTCCAATTGGGTAGACTTGAAGAGATTAAAATCATAATCACAAATATAAACACAAGATCCACAAGTGTATCTTGTGAATGACTGAAGAGGCCACACTTCACATTTTTAATGCCAACATACAGGCTTTCTTTAAGTAATAGCTGACCTAACAAAAGAAACCACTGCACAAACATTTAGTAAAGTTACTAAAATATAACAGGGGCTAAATGTTGCAAAATGAGTAAGCACAATTTTTTTTGTTAGTACTTGGGACTTAATGTAGGATGCTGCACTTGCTAGGCAAGCACTTTTGCCACTAAGCTGTATCCCAGCTCAAGAACAATTTTTTTTTTAACTCAAAAGAAGCCAGGTACCGGTGACTCATGCTTATAATCTTAGTTACTCAGAAGGCTGAGATATGAGGATCTCAGTTCAAAGCCAGCCCAGGCAGGAAAGTCTGTGAGACTCTTACCTCCAATTACTCACCAGAAAACTGGAGTGGTGCTACAGCTCTAAGTGGTAAAGTGCTAGCCTTAACAGGGACAGCGCCTAGGCCCTGAATTCAAGCCCCATGACTGACAAAACACAAAACAAAACAAACCCTCAAATGAATATTATTCAACTTCTTACCAAGTGCCACTTTCAAATTTGTAGTTTACTCTCTCTGGATCTGAAAACCTGTGATCTAAAAATGGGAAGAACATAGAAGTCATTATTTTAACTACTTGAGAGTAAAGTTGTAGGAAGAAATTCAAATAATAGTCAATAGTGGGATCAGTTACCAGAACTAAATTATTACAATAGTAATACTCACTATAAGGCTCTGAAATCATTGCTAAAATTATATTTCCCATATCTTCAACTTGCGATGCTCCATATCGGGAGACTGAACTATTCTTCTCAAAGTTTAAACCTTTGAAATTAAGTTAAGGAAACATTTTGGAAAGGTAAAATTAAGGGTACTGATAGCTCTAAATTTGGCTCACACAGAGCCAAGAGTCCAGAGCTGCTTCTCATCAGTCAAAAAATTCACCTGTACTCCGTGAAGACTCTGATTACCCATTTGAATCAAATGCCCAAGTCAGTCCAGTCCTGTCCTGCTAGCCAACAAAATTTTTTTAAAAGTCCTATTTAGGTAATAACAAATGGCAGGTCTAACAATTAACCCACACAGAGAATGTGTGTATGCAGTCAGAATTCTACATTTCAAACTATCAAGAAAGCAAAGAATCTTTCAATGTATCCATCTTTACTGCATAAATAAGACAATTACTATGTAACTTAAGGGTAATGACACTCAAGACCACAAGACATTAAATGGCAAATTTTGTCCTAATATCTGAAATGAATATTTTACATTATTGATGACCTAATTCTTTTACTCAAACTTCTCTTCCAAAATACTTTCATATCTCTGTTCTTTCAATGTAGCAAATGCTAGTGCTTTAAGAGTAAATTTTAGAAACAATTCAAGGACCCAGTAGTCACACATGCCTGCACATGTGCATATATATATATGCATATACATACATACACACACACACACACAGCCTAAGTTATCTGGGAATCCTCTAGTCTCATTCTCTAAAGTGCTGGAAATATATTCACGTGTCACTATGTCCAACTAAAATAAGGTCATGTCAATATATATATACTGGGAAACATATGGCTCAAATTGAAATTGAGGGTAAAACCAGAATAGGTGTTTATTATTTATACTCCAAAATAAAGTATGTATCTTCATCAAAATATTTACCTTATGAAACTAGCAGTCATTGCATCTTTCATTTCACTACTATAGTCATTTGTATCATATAAGTTTTATAGTGAAATATAATGTATACCAATTTTAAAATGAAATATAATAGTACACACCTGTAATCTCAGTACTAGGAAGGCTGAGGATCATGAGTTTGAGGTCAGATTGTATATTGTTATCATACCAGAACATTCACCAAGTAACTTCATCACAGGGCATCTAGTTAAGATACATCTAATTTCATAAATGGTAAAAGATATCTAACTTTCTTACTTTTGCTAACCATATTGCACCAGAACTGCCACATAGTACCAAAGCCTTCCCTAACTGCTCTAGGCTACACCATCGATTTAAGAGCCCATCAAATATAATCTTGCCAATAAATTACTTTTCTTCTGCATAGTACACTTCCTATGTGCTGATATCTAGTCTGTATGCAGCCAACAGTAATGTCTAAGACTATATTGACATAAACAGATCCATTCATTAAATGCCACTTCATACCAATCACCATGCCTTTCTTCCAATTTCTACAATAGCTTCCCAAGTAGGTAAGAATAAGCAAGATGGAGAAAGCAGAATTTTAAAATGTTCCCCAATTCACTTAAGTCACCCAGCTGGCAGGCAATGGAACTTGAATTACAATTAAGCTCTTATTTGATTATGTATACACATTTCCCTACACAAAGGTTAAGAAACTTGTTTTGAGCAGTACTAAGGTGCTTTTAAAAATTTTTTTTATGGTTATTAGAAAGGTGATGTACAGAGGGGTTAAAGGTACATAAGTGAAGAGTATATTTCTTTTTGGACAATGTCACTCCTTCCTGAAGGGCTTTTCTAATGCACAGATAAAACCAAGTGAGTAAAACAGAGATCCAAAGTTAAAGTGTAAAGTCTCCTATATGTGAAGTTTATTTGTAGCTAAAGAATCGTTTTACTAAAGCCTCCTTTTTAATTAAGAATATGGTTTTGGCATTTGGCCAACTGGGTTCTACATGACACGTACCAACATGTTTTCCTTTGCGCATCACACAGGGATGATCAGCAACTCTAAGCTGCTAACAACTTTGAAAAGTCACCAGACCTCCTGTGTGCCCAAACCGCCTCCTTTTACACACACACACACACACACACACACACACACACACACACACACACACTCGTCCTTTCTCACACTTGTTCAATACATAATCTTTACCTGAACTGAACACAAAAAATAAAAGTTGTTCTGTGGAACTGTTTTGGTATCAATCCCTATCAAGGGATCGTTACATTTAGAATTACTGGCTTCACGCCTGATCTTGGGAGAAGGAAAGATGAGTCTGGGCCTCCTAATTTATGGCTCGTCATGCAACTTACTCATTCTGCCCTTGAGGCAGCTACAACAGCACAAACAGGCTCAGCCAGCTTTACAAATGAGAAATGCCAGGAGGGACTGAGGAAGGGTACAGCCCAGCAGGGTGGGAAAAAACATTTCAGGCCATCACTGAGCAAAGCTCTACATTTATACAAAGATTAGAGAAGTGAAGACTGTGTCTCTCAACAGGGGGAAGTTTACCTTAGCATCATCTTTGGTGAAACAGACTAAGAACTAACCCATGCTTTCATGAGCTACAGGTATAATTCACAGAGAAACTACAAAGTTCATTAATATTGTTTAGATATTGAAAAAGTTCCTCCTTGACTGACAGAAAATGAACACATTTAGTTTCAGGACACCTAGTTTTCACTCATAAGTAGCATCTTGTTCACATTGCTTTTACTTTGTATCCAAGAGAATCACACCTATAAAATAACAAATTGTAGTAGCTGTTCAACAAGCAAGTTTAAACTCTCACAAGTACATCTCACAAAACTCTACCTCAAGGTTACACTTACATGTTAGGGACCCTGTAGAAAATAACTTTGTAACATCCTCTTTTACTGTTTTCTTTTTTATTTTCAGCGTATCATAACTATAGAGGTTGTCAGACATACTTAAATGCCCATGGTAATGAACAAAAAAAAACAAACCTGTAAACCATTGCAAAGAAAAAGCAACATAGTACTCCAAGTATACAGTACTCTAAGAACTGAGTTCCATACAAGTACATGAAGTAAAAAGGAAGAAGAAAGCAATAAATTATTCTTTTTTGTTTGTTTTTATTTTTTAGTTGGTTATGGAGCTTGAATTCTGGGCCTGGGCGCTGTCCTTGAGCTCTTCAGCTCAAGGTGAGTGCTCTACCACTTGAACCACAGTACCACTTCCAGTTTTCTGGTGTTATTTGGAGATAAATCTTACAGACTTTCCTGCCTAGGCTTTGAACCATGATCCTCAGATCTCAGCCTCCTGAGTAGCTAGGAATACAGGCGTGAGCCACCTGCTCCCGGCTTTGATTATTCTTAAAAGAGTTGTATAAGTTAAAAAAAAAATTTTTTCAACAGGGTCTGTTTTTTTTTGGTAATGGTGAATTCCTTTTTGTTTTTGATGCCAGAGATCTAATATGCACTTTACCACTATCTGTGGCCCTGAGTTTCACACACAGCCAATCTGCTTTACTTTAAACTGAGCTTTGAAAGAAGCAATCAAGAATGTCACCATGAAAATGTACCAGCAGGAGGCAAGGCAACAAACCTTTTATACCAGCACTAAAATGCTAGGCAAAGGATCTAAAACCTTAGTTTTAACTCTACTTCTCAGTTCTACCTTTCCAAAAGAAAAAAATAAAATCCTTACCTAACAAAGACAGTAGGAGGTATTATTGTAATGAAGGGACATGTGAACAAAATTTCAAACAAACTTGATGAGTGAATTATACCCTAGAAGAAATCAGATGTAGTAGTAGTAGTTAACCAGCGAACGAGATCAAAGACTTTATTTCATAAAAATACATTTAGACTAGGGATGCCCTTCAATCTGAGAGTTTGAGAGGCTTAACATGCACAAGGCCATAGACTGGATTCTCAGCCCTGAAAACAAAACAAAATAAACAACAAAAATGACATTTAGGGCATGGGAGCACATGCCTGTAAATCCCAGCTACACATCAGGTAAGGCTCCAATATCGCAAGTTCAAGCCCAGCCTGAAAATCATAATGGGAACTTGTCTTGAAAAAGATATTTACTTGAGATAAATTAGAAACAAGGAGACTCCATGAGAATAAAACAAGTGTTCTATCACAAACAAAATCATCCTACAGTAGTCAAGCTCAAAAAAAGCAAAACACATTCTTTAAAACCAAAACATATTCTTTCATAATTAAAATAAACCATATGAAATCAACCTAACTCTGAGGGATGGCAAAGAATATACAGTATTTCAAGTCACTTAACTTATTACCGACCACAAGCCAATGTATTTGCCAACTTGGTTTACAACATGCCAATGTGATACCAAAGATAACTCCTTCCCCTCTAGCTAATAAGGTCAACTACTAGCACAGCTTAACTGTACACTTAGGGATATTCTAAATCCTTTTCATATGAAGAGTTATCAAGGAAGTTTCAATGCTTCCCTCCACAGAATTACAATGGCCCTGTTCAATTAATCATAAATACCTAAAGGTAGAGTGAGCCAAATTCACTATGTGTGTATGTACATACACATATACATGCATATACATCCATGCATGCACACATATTTTAGGAGGAAGGGAAATAGAACTGGTGTTACAAATCAGGGTTTGGTGATTGCTAGACAATCACTCTATCTCTAAGCCTTGCCTCTAGCACACACATTATTTTACAAATAGAAAAGCCAAATTAACATTGCAGTTTACTGTACTAACATGCTTTGAACACCACCTAGGAAGTCTCACATGAGGCTGATGAAGTGTAAAGCAGTTTAAACAAAGTTTGAAATTAACACAGAAGTCCTTTTCAAAGTCACTGACAGCCGCTGATAACCTAGTGAAGTCCCCAGATCACAGTCTCCAGGAGGGTCGGTGGACCACACACAGGCTGAAGGATTACTTACACAAGTCCTTAAAACAACCTTTCCCATTTCAATATGGGGAAACAGGGTGACAGTATAACTGATTTGTCCCTGGTAATTGTGAGTCTAGAACTCATTTAATTACAATGCTATTAAGACCATTCCCTGCTAGCCGGGCACTGGTGGTTCACGCCTGTAATCCTAGCTACTCAGGAGGCTGAGATCTGAGGATCGCTGTTC